TCGAGTTGCAACCAGAGTCACGGAACGGATTAAGTTTGTATCCCGAGGTACCACTGTATATCCCTCTGCCACCAATTGTTCACTTGATTTTATTTTGTATTCCCCTTGACAAAATTCTGGTGTGTCACGATAAGTTAGCTATTAGTATTTGCCTATTATTTCTCGTCTATAGAATGCTACTTGTGCTGAGAGCCACAAAGGTGTTTTCAGGCACAACCTGGATTTGAATCTATTCCATATTCTCAATATGGCACATCCAACATTATGATTTTTAAAATCCACATTAACCTTGACTTTATCGTACCACAAATATCCATGCCATCCAAATCTCAGGTCATGTTCTTCCAACTCCAAAAGCCTTCTATTTCTCAGCAACACCCACTCTTTCATCCAAACCAAACAGCAAGCTGAAAAATACAATTTCAAATCAGGTAAACCCAATCCTCCTCTTTCCTTTGCATCTTGTAACACGTTATATTTAATTTGTGTTTTTTTTCCCTTGCCACACAAACTTAGATATATCCTTTTACCACTGTTTAAATGGTGTATCAGCTGTCAAAACAGGTATTGTCTGAAACAAAAGGAAGAGTGCATATATTAAGACAATATCTTTAACTACCCTAGATCCTTGGGAAGATTTCGATAGTCCAAAATACCAAATGCAGTCAAAACTATCTGGTAGACTGTGTGATGATGATGATGATGATGATGATGATGATGATGATAGGAAGAGGAGAAGGAGGAAGCCTTATCAGAAGCAGAAGAAAGTTCAGGGCAAACACAAAGCTTGGCTTTTGCCTTCTGAAGATCAAATCTTTCAAAGATTCCCCCCAGTGATGTTTCTTCTGCCCCATGAGCCAAACTTGGTTGTTACAGTTCTCTTCTGTTCTCTGGCGATTCAGCACTCTCTCGGAAAGGGGACCATGGTCTTGGGGCCCCAAAAGGCTTGGGGGACAAAAGCCCTGAGCTGCAGGGGCTGAGTAAAGCCCGCTCACCCTGAGCATGGCTTAGGGGACCTTTTGGAGAAACCATAGGGGCTAATAAAAGCTTGTTGGCTGGTGAAGATGTATCAGAGAGGCTCCCATGTGGTTGATGAGATGCATCAGGAGGGAGGGGTGTGGGGCCCTTTTGCACCATCCTGGTGTTCAAAGAGGTGCCACTCTGCTCATCCTCAGAGCAGGCTTGAAGCCATTGCTCCCATACAGCTGCATGCTGGGTTTCCCTGCTCCCGTGGGAAGAGAATGGAGCCTCACCCCCCTGTGGGGAAAACGCCAACATCTCATTGCAATGAGAACTTTGCAGATCATCTCTGGGGCTGATGGAGAGTCTGGGAACCAGCAGCTCACTGGGACTCTTTTCCGGCTGTCGCTTTGAAAGCTGGCGGATCTGCTGAATCTGTTGCTGGAATCTCAGTTTTGCTGTTGGGAGAAAAGCCAAGCTCAGTTTTAACCATCATTCACTCCATCCTATAGCTCTTGCACCAAAAGTTTTCAGGGCAGCAACTCAGATGAGAAAGAGGTTTTTCAATCAATCATTGGATGATAAAGGGAGCGGAATTTTAGGTGGCTGAACATTTCTCCAATCAGTAGTGATTATAATTTAAAAAAAAAGGGTTTGAATCTTAGAGAAAGTTAGAAAGTGTGTTAGCCTCTTTTCATCCTTCTGCAGTAAAGCTGGGGCCATACTAAAATGAGAAGTAAATCCTCCTCACCTTTTATTAAGTTCTCATTCTTCTCTTTCAAAGCTTGAATTTCACACGCCATGGCAGAAATCTGGAAGTGAGAAAACGAATGAGCAGAATTCTGCAAAGGGGCCCCCAGGCACCTTTGAGAACTTGCAGCTGGATTATGATGGTGGCAATGCTTGACTTTTGGATCTCGTTTAAATTATTTTGATGATCCTGCTTTTTTTCAAATAACCTTTTCCCAAAGCTCAAATCAATGATTGGATGCTTATAACACCCTCTCCAAGTCAGAGGAAAGCCTGGGAATTATTGTTAAATTTCACCAAGGAAAAAGAAAATAAAACCAACCTCATACAAAAATGCAACCCTCAATATGTTTCAATTTTACTCAATCGTCGTTTAAATGAAGCGGAACTCAACTGCAAATATGATATACAGTTTATTTATGAGAATTTGGGGAATTTCAGTCTAAACACATTTCAAGAACCCCAAGTCAAGAAAGGAGATGAACGAAAATGAGGATAGCCAGTGTGAAGAAAGAAGTACATGCCTTGCTTCTGAGTAAGCTTCTGCAGGCTGAAAACAACCCCCCAAATGGTTGAGAAAGGGTCTCTTTGCCCTATAGCTATCCCAAATATGGTTTAAGTTAGCTTCAGTAGCATCTTCCAGCTACTGAGGTGTGATTGACAAAACAACCTTCTTTCTCAGCAGCTGTTTTTGAGGATGGAACCTGCAAAGGGCTCTCTCTGAATAAGGTTGGGCTTACCATCTCAGTTTTTGCTTTCAGCTGCTGCTGAAGGCTCTGTGCTGCTTCCTCACTTCTGGATGCACCCCCAAATTCCAAATAGCTTTCTTCTGGAAGCCCGAGGGATTCACTTGCAGTGGTCTTTGGAAGAAGCAAACAAGAAGTCATTCTGGAAATTTCTGATGGTTCTTCATCTTCAAGGCTAAGATCCCATCCTCAAAATCACATTTCATGAAAAAAGCTGAGTTGCTGCATCAAACTAAAACCTGGCTTGGTCCAGTACCCTGCTTCCTACCATGGCCAACTGAATGTCCCTGCAAAATGCTCATTGGTGTAAAAGATGGAGCTCCAGAATTGATTCCTTCTACCTAGAATATAAACTTAGCATCCATTCTAGGACTGTTTGGTCACCACTGTTCCCCACATCCATCCCCAGTTATTAAAAACAAGGTTGGTATTTATGCAGCTGGGACTCAGCTAGTGGCCTGTCAAGATAAAGGAAAGGTGGAGTCTCACCAGCAGTTCTGGAGCATTTTGAGATGCTGCCGAGCTCTTTTCCTTGAGCCCCCCATCATGATGCTTCCTGGGTCCTTCTTGCTGCTGTTGCCTCTGTCTGAACAGGTCCTTCAGCTTTTGAAGAACATATGGAGAACATATAAGTGATATTCTGATTAATAACAATTGGATTCTAGACGGTACTAAAGCCATATTAGCTAAATCTAAATAGTAGGATCTGCAACCAAAGATTGCAGTGTGGATAGCATGGGAAAGAAGGGCTGTGTGATGCTTCAGATCCAGTTCAGAAGAGGTGCTTGGAATGTACAGGAATGGGAAGACAGCTTCTGTCTGTGACTCATTAATGCAAACCCTATTCAGAACCTCTCCCATAGATCAGCCACCATTCCATGCCCACTGAGCACACAGAGTCCTTACCAGGTTGCCCAGGTCTTCTCCTACCCCTTTAACATCTTCTGTATCTCCAATTCCACAGCAGAAAACCTAACTTAAATGACAACCCCAAATGATCTCTCAGTCAAACCTTTCCTCACCTTGCATGTGCCAGTCTGGGTCTACAACTCCCACCACCAGTCAACATGGGAGTTGCAATGTTATACATCTGGAGCGCATTAGGTGCCCTTTTGGTGTAATTGATGGCAGGGATGGAAGTGAAGTGAGTGCAATTTCAGAAGGACTGCAATAATACCAGTCCATTCTTATTGGAAGTGGTGATCAGTCCATGAAGGCTTGTACAATCCCATTTCTGCAGTGGTCCTCCCTTTGCCCTCAGCCACTGCACATAAAAGATGCAGCAGGAGAAAGATGGGAAGGTGAACAAATGCCATGACAAAGGCATCTTACCTGCTCAGTCACTAAATGATGTTGTAGTCTGAGGCCTTCTAGCTCTTGCGGGGGATTCCCAATGACCTTGGCATCCAAGCCACAAGGATGGCCCTGGGTGGAAAAAACAGAGCTTTGGGGACAGAAAGAATGTCCTGAATGTAGCAATGCCAAATGTGAGTGCTTCTCTTTTCTGGAGGTGAGAAATGTCTCAGGACTTTTGGTGAACGGATTGGAGATGATAAACTACAGTGTCCTTTCAAGGTATCTATCCAACATATAACCTCCTTATTCTCCTTGCTAAAGTCTAGAAAGCCATGTAGCATAACCAATGGCTCTCCATCCTTCACCAATTCTTCAGGCTTCCAAATGTATATCTGAAAGGAATAATGACCTAAGATCTTCCTTCTATTTCAAAAATCAATTCTAATTCAAACATTTCATTGGGTCAAGCAGGAGGCTCATCCAGACTTGTGACTGGTTTTTCACCATGGCCCTTTGGATGTCTCCAAGAAGCTCACTTGTCCCACAGCAACTGGAGTTTTCTGCCTCCGAACATGGAGGTGCCTTCTACATGGAGCTAAAGCATATTTGAGGCCTGCCAGATCCAACTGACAGGACTTCTTGACCAGAACCAACCTTCTCATAACAGGCACCCAGACCTTCTCTTGTTATCTTCAGCTCTGATGAAGTTCTCATCTCCGACGCAGCTCTTTCCACATCTTTGGCTTGCCTGAGGTCTCTCAAAGCCTTGTCCCTGGAGACATAAGAATTCTTTTGAACTAAACTGCAGAGCAGACAGTATCTCATGGAAACCATATCCAATGTTTATGCTTTTGGTACCCAATGATATAAAAAACAAAACAAAATGAAGCAGCAGCAGCTAATAGAGGAGGATGGAGATCTCCAGGTATTATAGGAAATAAAATGAAATGACATGTCCTATAGATCTGAAGTTTCCCCCCACCCTTCTTTTTATGCAGTGATAACCCAGTCTTCCTTGAAAGTGCATTGCTGGTCATGGGAACATGACATTTTATGAAACATTGTTTTTTTCCTCCAGAAATGCTGGTATTGCAGTATTTGTATTACTGTTCTGCGGAATTCGTCACAACATGACAGCATTATCTATCAACGCCCGCCTCTCCCGTAATAAGGATCATACATCTGAGACTGTATCTTTTCATTTGTGGGGGGGTGTTTCTCCCCTACAGTGTTTTATGTTGCTGTTATTAGTTTCCTCCTATTGTTTTTTAAAGGTAGTTATTAATTTACTGCCCCTTGCTTGAAGTTGCTTCAGCAATTGAGAGAGCTTATAAATTGACTCAACAGATAATTATAAATAATGGACTGAAGAGCAGAGATAAGCAGTTGAATAAAATGAAGCTAACATAATAAGTTGAATATATTGTTGGTAAACTAATGCTACTGAGAAAGCACTGAATGAAGAAGACCATTTCCTTCATTTCAGCAAAACAGATTTGTAAGAGACAGGGATGATGGTGATGATGACAGTTGTTTCCCACTATCCTGCCCTAAATTATATTGCTGAACTGGAGAAAATTGGGTAAAAAGGAAAGAATCTGGCAATGCACAAAGTCTTCCAGCAACCACCAATTTTTCACCCTACGGGGTTAATGTGTCTCCAGATGGCAGGGCTTGGGTTCTAGTAGACAAAGAAAAGAGATCCTGCAAACCTGAATTCTCCTTTCCCTCTCCTGTGGCATTATCAAAGGATGAGCACTGTAATTTATTTCCCGGAGAATGTGTGTCATGTCATTCCCCGTGGCGATCAGATAGTCTGTTATACCCTGAGATCCTTGCCTTGCTCCCTTGTTTTCCTTACTTTTCAGCAAGTTGTTCCTCCAAAGCATGGACATGTTGTTCGAGTCTCTGCCTCTCCAAATTGCACTCTGTGTTCTGCCAGGAAACAAGAAACACCAGTCAGCAGACAAAAAGCATGCCAGCCCTGAGCAGATACTGCAGAGGTACGCCAGGACATCATTGAGACTTGAATATGGTTCCAACTGTGCCAAGTTCCAGAAAAGATGGGCTTTGGGGAGGGTCTAAGCAGGACCCTGTCTGAATCCATGGGCCTTGATGGTTGCCCAAGGATGCCAGTTGCAAGGTACTGGTCCTGGAGGCAGCGATAGCTGCAGGTTTCACATTTCACATGACGCAGTTTGGTTCTGTGCAATACCGCACCATGGTTGATGAGCCATGATTTATGGTGTGAACCTAATGAATGGTGACTTATTCAACAAACCATGGTTACAAAGAGTGGTTTAAGGAAATACAGGAGCCCTGTTTCAATGTTCTGCATCCTTCTGAGGCTGCCTATGGAAGAAGACTGTTTGGCTCCTTTCCAGAGGGAAGATTTTCACAGCCAATACTGTACTTGGATCCTGGCAGATTCCAGCTGCAGCCGCTGTTCTTCAAGCACCATCTCGCGTGTCTTCAGCAGGTCCCAGGCCTTCTGCAGCTCCTCTTGGACTACAAGGATATCTGAGTCTGCTTCCTCTGGGAACATCTAGAATGACAGAAGGGAGAACCAGTTATAATCAAAGGGAATGTGTATTGTATTATAACCAGGTTTGCTGGTTGTAGTGTTGGGCTTTACCCACTCAAGCAAGATTGGAACCCCTGAAATAAGCTCCCAAGAAAATCCAATGATTAGAATATTTATTGAAAACATTAGGAAGCCACAGCCAGAAGAATCTCAGTGACTGCAATGATTTGAGTACTAGCCCTACTGATAGAAACACAACTCAATCATTCTTGCATTTTCTTTCTTTCTTTCTGCCCTACTAATTTGGCCCCTTCTTATGAGCAGGCTAAGCTGCCTCCATTGATCAATTATTTTTGCAGCGCTCAGATTGCTCATATCTTATTTTTTAGCAATAGGGGGAGAGTTAACTCACATCTAGGTTGAAGACAGCTTGAGCCAAGCTTAGAGAACCAGAAGGGCACTGCAGATTCCCATCCCGATTCTCACCTCAGGGGTAGGCTTAGCACTGTTTTGGCTTCCAGACTGCAGAGCCTGAACCTGATGGTGCAAAGCCTGCCGACAGTTCTGTTCCAGTTCCAGCTCCTGCTTGCAAGCCTCCAGCTGTATCTGGAGAAGCAAAGGGGCTTCCACCTGCTGAGAAGGAAGAACAAAAGTAGGAGGGTTGTTGTACCTGAAACAAGTAATTCTACTTGAGTTGATTGTGCATCTCTACCCAGCAAAAAAGAATCCAAGTTATCAACTAATTTTGGGCAGAGCAATTCTTCAGGATTTTTTTTCCTCCAAGATCCATGGGAGGAAAGACAATCTCTGGTGGAACGTCTAGGAGAAGAGAATTTTGACCTAATTCTCATGGGCGGTGGGTGGCCAAGGAGTGCATGTAAACGTCCTGCTCTTCACTATACAATCCTTTCTCCCGCAAGCCACTCCCTCCCTGGCTTCCCACCCTTTCTTTCCAGGAACTCTTCCTGTGGGAAACGTTCACAGCAGAGGCAGTTTTAGCACTGTGGGGAAAGTCCTGTCTTTGAGAAGTGGTTGGAGAACTTGTCCTCTCCACTCCTTTATTCCACCTGCAAATTTGGCGGAGGACTCCAGAAAGCCTTTTGTGCTCCGCTCGATCCTCACCAAGCTCGCAGCTGAAAGACCAAAAGGACTAGGACAGATGAAAGGCCAGAAGGCAAGGGGAACAAAACTACAGCAGCAAAAGGTGCCCCCCACACCTTGGCTGGGAGGGCCTGGCTCTGGCTGCTCATTTTCTCCAGCGCTTCTTCCGTAGTCTTCAAAGTGACATCCGCTTGCTCCCATCTGTTTCTCCAATGTTGGGAGACCGACTGCTGCTCGCCCAATTGTTTGCCCAACTCTTCAGCCTGTCTTTCAAGCTCCTGGCAGTGAGCCTGTAGGAGATCCTTCTCCTTTTGCAACTGGATCTGAGATTCCCTGTTGAACCAAGGGAAAACAGGAGAGAAAGTGCATGAAAAAGCATTTGTGAACTCTTCAAGGCCATTGGGGAACCGAATTTTGCACTTTTGGAGTTGCCTTTGGGGAACGTAAATGGAGGTCCTCCTCAGGTACCCACACAAAAGGAGGTAAGGTGGGTCACAACAAGGGAGAGAACTTTTTCTGCAGTGGGCCCCCCATTTATGGAACTCTCTTCCCAAAGAGGCTTGACTGGGGCCCAAATTAGCATCATTTCCATGCCAAGTGAAGACCTTTCTATTTTCCCAGGCTTTTGAATTGGCCTTTAATTATGTATTAATTGCATTTTAATTTGTATTGTTTTAGATTTTGAATGACTGCCTCACTGCTGAATAGGGCATCCATCACTGCACACTTTGTGCATAGGCAACAAACATAGTTCTTGTACTGCAGCAGCTTGTCGTCCTCCTGAAGCATTTGATTATGGCCCCCAAGTTGGGAAAGAATGTCTGAACATTTATTACCTGAGATTTTCACAGCTTCCCTGCAGAGCTTTCACAGCCTCCTCCTGGCACTGTTGCTCTGCCGTTCTCTCAAGGAGGTGTTGCTCCTTCTCTTCCAACAACTGGGTTCGCTCATCCTCCAAAGCCTGGATATGGTTAGCATGGAATTTCTTCTCCTCCTCCAAAAGATGCAGCTTTTCTAAAAGAGCTTGTAGCCTTTGGTGGCCCTCAGCTACTTTAGAAGAAAGCTCTTTGTTCAACTGCGAGAGGGATTGCGAAATTGAATTTTTCAGTTTTTCAGATCACTTCATCCAGCCCACCTTAACTGGGTTCAACTGGGCAACATTACTAACCCTGTGAATGGTCCAGCAGGAAGATCAGATCATTACTTAGCTTACAACAGACAGTTATAAACAGAGGGGTACAACTGGAGCCCTCCAGGCTATGGGTAGGCTCTCCAAAGGTTGCCATCAAATTGTAATACTTAGAGTGCTAGAAAGGAGGAATTATTCAATCTATGTGCAATAATAAAATGCTTTATTTATTTATTAGAATGATGTCTGCCTTTCTGATCAAATGGAGCGCTCCAGGCAGTTTACAATTTAGACAGATACGTGTAGACGGAAAAAAAGGAAGTAAAAATAAATCCAGATTAGAAGACTATAAACATGACAAGATGAAAACATAAATATTTGCATATTTATTTATGGTTATTATTTTAGATCCTGCTTTTCAGGATAACACTCCACCCATAAATATAGTTTCCCTCCCACAAAACAGTTTCATTTATTTATTTGGAAAACTTATCGGGCCTCCCATCTTAAACAAGTAACTTTGGATGGCTAACAAACAAGACATAAAAACCAGTAATAATAACGATACACAATATAAACAGTACAAAATACAATTAAGAATAATCAACATGCTATTGACAATTGACGGTAATCGTTTTGTAGGAGGAAGCAAAGGTGGAGTCCAACTCGGGGATGCAGAGTAACTATATTTGTTGTTTTTGAAATAATTTTTTTTCTTAGGAACCAACATTGTTCATGTGGTTGGTGATAACCCTGTCACTGTAATGGCCTATCCATTCATTGCTCATCTTTGTAAATTCTTTGTTAGAGTAATAAAAAAATAGTTTCAGGGTTACTTAGTGTCAGCCCCACTAGGTAGACCAGACCAGGAAATCAAATCCACAGGAAGGTTAAAACTACTTTGATTTAGTTTTCATTTTGGTCCCACCCACCTCTTTGTTCTAGTTCTGCCTACTTTGAGGAGGCAAGCCATAGAGCCCTCAGTCTGACAAAGGTGATACACCCCAGACATGTATCGGTTCTTCTGCTCATCACCTCAGAGTTACCTTAAGCCTCTTGATGTTTGTGCCCTTTGGGCAGGATATCAACCCACCCTTGGAGAAGTAAGATGTAAGAGCTGGAGAGATGACTCAGCGACTGGTCAACTTTGGGTTCAGAAGCTAAGCAGGATTGAACTGGGTTGGTACTTGGATGGGAGACTTAACAGGAAATCCAAGGATTGTAGGCTAAACTGGGAAGATATGTAACTTGCTGAAAAGGCAGTGGTGAACCACTTCCATATTGCTGCCAAGAAAACTGCATGGACCTGTCCATGTAGTTATCAGAAGCTGAGGTCTACTGTCTTGCTTTTTTATTGGATGGATCCTATCCCTAAAAGAACAGGAACACAGTCCATTCCCAGAACTGAGATTTACCTGTCTGACAGATTCCATCTCCTCTTTCATGAGGACTTTCTCTTGCTCCTGTTGATTGACCTGAGTCTTACTATTTGCAAGCTCTGACTTGAGAGCAAAGATCTGCTCGCTGAATTCTTTTTGTTTTGTCTGTGCAAGCTCCACCTCCAAACTGAGATGCTGGACCTGCTGATGCAGCACAACGTTCTCCTGCAATTAAGTTGCCATAAGAGAGACATTTTTACTGATAAAATAAGGACAGTCTCATTCAAAAAGAAAACAGCATCCGACCTCAAAATACAAACATAGGGAATATAAACCAGTAAATGATTTGGCTGGTGGAACATATAACCACAGATAGTAAAGCTGGGAATGATAAAGCCATCTTAAGGTTCATAAAGGAGCCAAAACCTTGACCAAGGCATACAGGATTGAAACTGGTGGGCCACTGTAGAGAGGGCGTTCAATAAGGTTGGCACCACTAGAAGGCCTGGCTTCTATCAAAAGCTTATGGAACTTTCTCTGAGAACATCGCTTAGGACACCAGGTCAGATGTTAAAGAGGGTGCCCTCCAGATCACATCCAGAAGATACCATCCTCAAAATATCCAATTCCCAAGGAATACAAGACATGGTCATGAGGCAGTTGGTTGTACTCTCACTGTTCCTGGAAATTTAATCAGGACCAGCCCTACCACTGGACAAGATGAAGTAGCTGCTTCAAGCAGCAGATGCCACTGGATGGAAATGTCAGAGGGCAGAAGTGTATACACCACCCATCCTGTTCTTTTCCACTGACAACAAAATGTCTAGTCCACTTCCAAAGAACACTGTCATTTTGGAGCAAATGTATAGATGTTGATACTGATTGCCTGCATGACTCGCTATGAATACAGGCATTGGTTTTCTGTAGGTCCAGTAGCCCAGACCAGTTTAATTTGCTAAGGATGATGAATGTTTTTCCTCTATGTTAAGCAAGTCTTGCATGCAGAAAAAGGCTACGCTAGATCCCTTTCTCCTGATATACCGCTTTCTCATCTGAAATTCAAATACATGTGAGTGTGTCTGGATGCTGTTCTCAATCACCCTTCTTCTCTTGGACTTCCGGGCGAAGTATGGCAAATTGAAGACTGCTCTGCAAAAGCAGAGCTGACAGCTGCAGCAAAGACCAAGGAACCAGTGAGGAAACTGGTCCCTTGGAACTTCTCTGGATAAGGAGAGGATGGGAGATTGCCCACATGTGCTCCAGACAGCTGCTCCTTATGAGGAGAGTGCAGGACAGTTTTCCATGGCTTTTGAGCACTGGGAGATGAAGGGATTAGCCATCTTGCTTGCAACCACAGTGAAGCCCTTTAAAGGACACTAAGTTTGCAAACATCACTTTCTGATCACTTTCAGAAATTGCCTATTAACTATTTTATAGCTATTACAGACCTTCAGAATGGCAAGTTAAAAAGCTTTCATTGGGTGAGTTTATCTTCAACTCTGAACAAAAGAAAAATTGATTATAACCTTAAGAACTGAAAGAATCTTAAAGAAGAAAATGGTCTTTGATGCATGAAGTATTATGTTCTACCTTCACCTGTATTTATCATACTTTGGGCTGCAAAGCAAACTCATTGCCCAGGAACTAAGAAATGGACAATTTGTTGCCTGAGCCAAGACATCTCTTTTCCACCCACCAGTTTGATGTTCTTGTAAGCAGCTTGGAGTTGGCTTCTTTCTTGCTTGGTTTCCAGTGAATTTGCAGCTGCTTGGTGGCTGGGTGAGCTCTGCTCTCCCTGAAGAACCAAAAGGACAGGAATATTCTCAGGTTCTTAAAAACAGTTCTTAGATCATCACATATAATAATGGTGAAGTCAAGAGCTGAGTGTGAACTAACTAAAAAAGGGGTGGTGAGAAAGAAGCAAGTGGAGGAATCCCGAGGTCTGTAGATGTAAGGTAGAGGAATAGAAACGTTGGAGAAGGGGGATTAGAGAGCCCTGACATAGACATTGCCCAGAAAAGACTTAGTGACCATGGGGCACTGAATGTTTCTGAGTGGTAAATGAGTGGTGAAGTGAGGACAGGATGGAGTCTCCTGCAACTGAGCAGAAACCCTTGACATACTTCATCACAGGTCCTCCCTCTTGCTCAGTTCTTCTCAACAGCACCACCACTTCAATCTTAACAGCCCTGTAAGGGAAGTCAGCATCTTATCTCTTCCATATTACAGAGAGTGGAGGCAGGGAAGAGATTGAGAATGAGAATGGCACCTTCCTAAGGCCATTGGTGAGTTCAACCAGAACTGCTCAGTTCATCAAGCCTTTCCTCACTAGTGAACTGGAGGACTTTCTACCTATCCTTGAT